AGGGTCCTTACCTTCGTTTTTGGAACTGCCAAAAAAAGTCATAGTTTCATAGTTAATGAGATTGCCATAGTCATAGTTAATGAGATAGCAATAGCTTGAATGTACTGCTGCGAACGGCTAGAAAATAGAAATGTGCAGCACGCTACTTATGCACGAATGACGCATGAAACCAACACACACATGACACGACCTAACTAGCAACATTTACAACTCGATGCTTGACGCGATGTTTAACAAAAACGACGTACTATAAGAATAAATACAACAACAAACATGTGTGCAAGCTAACGAGTGTCCTTCTTTTTACTTCGCTGTGTTTGAAAAGCGCGTTGTTCTCGCTAACGGGGCCTGCCCCAGCAAGTTAAGTTGACCTTTGTGGCCCAGGCAACTAACGCAATCATTCCGGTGAAAGACCAAGGCACATCATTCTCCCCCAGGAGGGATAAGCGCGAGCGCACAGGCACCAGACCCCCCCCCCCTTCATGCGTGGGGCACAGTACCAGTGAAAGATAGGCGCGCGTTGGCGCATCGCGACGAGCTGAATTTAAAAAAGCGGCATGGCTGAGTGATAGAATACTGGGCTGGCTCGCAGCGGACCTGGAGTCAATCTGCACAGTGTACTTGGTGGTTTTTATTTACTGACTTTTTTTTTTCATTTCATGCGATATGGGTTACGGACACTGGCGACGGCGGCAGCGGACAACTAAAGCGGCGCGCGTGACCCGCGTTGTGATCTCATAACAGTTTCCATTGTAAAATGATTGAATGCGTATTTTGAAACGCTAACGTTTCCTGAAAGAGATGGCTCATAGAAAGACGTTACACTTTTCGAGCTCATAAAGTTTATCGAACTTGTATTCATTAGGCCATTCTTGATATCACGGACACTCGTATATATTAGAACACAAAGAGGCTATTCGCGTGATAAAAAGTTTATTCGAAAAGTGCGCGTGGGAATCTGTCTCATGAAAACCAGCAAAAGGCTCACCGCAAGGCACAATAAACAATGCAGTGCCTCGGGTGCATTTTTTGTCTGTGTTAACTGAAACACTGGGTAGCGCATTTATAATTTTTATGTTATTTCTAGGTCATTGATCTTTAAATTGTTCGCTCTAAGTTTTTCATGCTCAGAGCTGGCACATTAACTATGGGCTGTCCAGAGGGCCCACGACGCGGCAGTGAGGCTCGGCCTACCCGTTCCGACGTAGGAGTGGCCCGCTGCTCTATCTCATTGAGGTAGCGTTCCTCGGGACGTAGGAGTGGCCCGCTGCTCTATCTCATTGAGGTAGCGTTCCTCGGGACCTCAATTAAGTTCTGTGTCTGTATGCCTCTCTGAATGTATTTGTGCGTACGGTGTTTTCTGTTGCTCGTTTTATCTGGTGGCAACAAAACATTTCTGATTTTATAGGTATTGTACAGCCCAAAATATTTTGTTGATCAACGACCTATAATTTTTGAAAACAGCATTTCACTATGCGTAATTTGTAATGCTGCAATGCGTGCTGGAGTATGTTTCGTGCTGCAAAACATTTCTTCTCTAGACATAAGCAAATGACTATTGTCTTGTGGTAACGAAAGAGTTAATTGAATCATTTGCGTGCGATGAAAAATTATTGAGGGCAGTGCAGCAGCCATGGCAGTCTTTATCGTTGCGCTACAAGTTCTGTTGCAGACCCTTGATTTTCGCAGCACTCTGCACCATTTATCAATGTGTTACGCAATGAACGCCAGTGAGTGGCAAAATAAATCCCGTTAACGCCAGCGAATGTCATTTTTTTCTGGCGTATTGTAATAATTACGATTTTGCTGTGTTGGTGGTCTACATTGTTGCGGGCAGCACGGCTTGGGCCAATGTACATCTAAGAATACCTGAGCGTACTTGTATGACCGAAATGCACTACTACCTATAACATGCCTTAATATTACGTTGATCTAGGCAAGCATCTTTGCCTGTGATTGTTTTCCTTTTTTCCCGTTGTCGCTTCCGCATTTTACTAGGCCAGCGATTACAATGCCAACAGACATGCTAAGAACCGTAGTACCTTTATGTTGGCTGCATATGACATATTGTAAGTTGTTCTTCGTGACAGCTCTTTTAGTCACCACCACCAGCTACAAGCTGTATGATTTAGTGTAAATAAATATAGAACTTCGCAGAAGAGCACTTTTTGCTGTGTGTTATAGGGTTAAGTTTTCAGTTAATTACCCAGAGGTAAAAGAAAATACTGCGAGAGTAGCAGATAGTGGTATACAATTTTTCCGAACTGGTAATCAGTTGAGGGTAATATTTAAGTTAATTATCCAGTTAAACGTAACATTGTAGTAGCCACCTTGAAATTCCTCTGAATTGCAGGCTTAGCTTCAAATCCATTTTCAACTTATGCAACTATAGCAGTAAATGTACATGTTGATATCACTTGATCAACAAACTTAATCAATAAAATTCATCACTGTGGTATCAAAAATGTGTAGATATGAGCTAAGGCCTGACATACCAAAATTTACTCACAAACACTCAAAAATGGCATGAAACTTTCACGTGAACCACTCACGCATACTATACATTTTACCCGAGTCTGCTAAAGGCATTTGAATAAGTGAGCACATAGCTATACTTAAATAGGTTGAGTCGACGCGTTTGCAAGAGCGCAGCAGTTGTGCGCATATTGCATATTTACCGGGCACGCGGACCTTGCTTGCGGTCCAAACAAACGTCGGCTCACCCTCTGCAGCGTAGACGTCAGTTTTAATGGCAAAGAATTTAAGGTGCCCTCCTCGGCGTATTCTTGCGGGAATCATCAAATGTATGTATAGCTGTGTCATTGGAGTAGACGTTATTCGGTAAAGACAAGATTACACAGCGCATAGTCAATACTGAAACGACCACTGGTATCATAAAAGCACTAACATAAAAATTGATATTTAGAAAGAATAAAGAACAATTATTCGCAATTAGGAAAACGTCGCGGTAGGTTAGGGACCTTTGCTGGACCTCTATCAGTATTTCTGTGCTACAGTGAATTTTCATTTTATTCAAACCGTAAATGAATGTCTCACCTAGCCCCCTTAAAATGCTTTTAAATATGAACCTAGGTTGAAAGTGGTAGAGCTAGTCGTATCAAAAGACTAGCAGGACATGCTGGGCGGGTGCAAGCATAGTCTAAGGCGACAGCTTGTGCTTCACGCAGGGTGGCCGATACGGCTCGAAATCTGGGCATAATTACTCTTTATGCTCTTTACGTTTTCCAGTGTGTAAGTTTCAGACCTAGGTGGACATAGGCAGTCAATCACGTGCATCAAATGCGCGCACTGGCCCTGCAGACAGGTATAAGGTACCTTTGTCAGTAGTACGGATTCCAACACACACGCCGCAGGCACGTAGCTATGAACATGTTATTTGCGTTTGTCGTACACTGGTGGCCCCGTATGCCAGTTTTTGGCATACCTGGTTAAAGTACGACGGCCTCATGTCCGAAACTTGGGTGACCAGACAGACAGACAGACAGACAGACAGACAGACAGACAGACAGACAGACAGACAGACAGACAGACAGACAGACAGACAGACAGACAGACAGACAGACAGACAGACAGACAGACAGACAGACAGACAGACAGACAGACAGACAGACAGACAGACAGACAGACAGACAGACAGACAGACAGACAGACAGACAGACAGACAGACAGACAGACAGACAGACAGACAGACAGACAGACAGACAGACAGACAGACAGACAGACAGACAGACAGACAGACAGACAGACAGACAGACAGACGAAATCGAGAAATGTGCCATCGGTTCCCCAATAAAATCATTGGTCCCGTATCTGCTTGTAATCTGCAAAACTCGTCGAAAGACGATGGTCTTGCGTGCGAAGTGAGTGAACAAAACATTTATTTGATGTTCTGCGCAAGAACATTGGTCTTAGTATTCAGGAGGCACTCGTTAGTGCCTCGAGCGTGCAGTGGAGGCGGACGAGCGCTTCAAATCACATCACGCGTGAGACATGAGCGCCATCTGGCAGTTTTATCTGGAAAACAAGGCGACTGGCCCGAAGACGGGCATGCGCGCCCGTCTCAGAGGTGATGATGTGTAGAACGCAAGGCGACGGGTAGTTGCCACAACTGTCATCTTAGCAAAGCGTTGGAAACACTCGCTTCTTCGTACAAGCGTTGCATGGTCAGCGCAGCGTTATAAGCGCTACGGTCCATAGATTTACTTGTGTATGTCTTTTCTAGTAAAAGACGAATATGCAGAATGTATACGTGTTGTTATGGTGCCTCAGATATGCGCAATAATTGCTTTTTCATTGACAATCGCACATGTATGAACGCTGATCCTTGAGCAACATTGGTGGACGGTGTGGATAGGGTCGGCCGTTCAGGGTATCGTCTGGTATTGTTTGAGAGTACGCGGTTCGCGGTAACGATGAACAAACAGACAAAATTACAGAAAGACCAAAGTTTTTGTGTCGAGGGTCTCCAAGAAAGACTATCGTCTTTAAAGATTCACATCTAAAATGGGCTGGTATAAATACCCTAGTTTTGTTTTGGAATTGGTAAATACGCTGCTGCTGTAGTCATGAATGCTACTGAGGTGAAGTCCAATTGGTGGATAAGACAACAGCATGTTTTTTTCTGTTGTTCTCAGAAAGGCTTTAGAGGTCGTTTAGTATACTGCATGGATGATCCAGATGTTTTTTTTTGTTGTTTTTGCGACTAGCCATACGTTCTTTGTGAGCGTGCTCTCGAAGTGAACATCTTAGTGCACTTCAGAATTTTGAGACATCATGTCCTTTATGGCTGTGCGCTCGGCAAGGTACTTAGGAGAATACTACAACAGAAAGACACTCACAGCGTTTGGCATGTACAAACAAAATAAAAATATAACTAAAAACAAATATTTTACGAAATGTAAATCTACGTTTATAAGGCCACAATGACGCGACCACATATTTTCGGCAAATGCTTTCTAAGCATTTTTTTTCACTTATAGATATTGGGCATGGACCCTTTTTTGGTGGCTCTGAGGGACGTCAACCAGGACCCAAAGTTGAAGTGCCTCACAGCAACCCGCATTGATTTTGACCCCAAAGTTCCGTCACCAACCTTCCAATGGTCGTTCAGTGGAGACCAAAACACTCCAAGGTAACACATAGCATCATAACGCCAGATTCAATGCAACATGATATTTGTGGCAGCTATATTTTCTTTGTTGCTTCTTTTGTTCATGAAGGTCTGATGCCGCGAAAGCTGTTTTTTATCTTTATTTTTTGATGTACGAACTGTGTACAAGGGTGTTGGGTCCTCTGTCAGGCGATATGCCTTTAGCCCCAACATTCTTTTGTTTCTTGTGTCTTGTACAAGAAAACAATAAAACAAATTTCGAAATTGAAATTGAAATCTTATCAAGCGTGAGTGATTCAAATATCAACACCATCACCATTATGATTGTTTCAGTCGACCGCAAGAAGAAGGCATCTCTCAATCGGTCTCCAGCTTCTCCCTACCTGTGCGAGCTTATTTACTTTTATCCCTGCGGACTTTTAACTTCGGCACTGCTTTCCAAACAGTGCTTCTTATCTCTTGGTAGCTATTTCGCGGCCCTTTTTGTGCACCGGATGTCTGTCGTGTGCATTCCGTGGTCAGCCCAGGTGCAAATATTTTGCTTCATGTCAACTAGTACGTGTGCAACGCCTGTTTGTTTCCTAACACATTCTTCCGTCAGCTGATCACTTTTTATGATTCCTATTTTTTATGTTGATTTGCACGTTTCCTTGTCCTTATTTTTTTCTCTGCTTGTCTTGTTATCTTTTATTTTTCAGCCCCTTATTTTATGCCTAGCAGTGTTCAGTGATTGTACACTTTGCGTATGACGACTGCGTTAGTTTTCCTGGCATTATGTGGCAGTGCCTGCGTCATGCGCTCATGCTCATTCCTGTTTATTCTAGCATTTCTTTGTGAATACAATCTCCTGTTAGTAGTTGTTAGAAGTCCTAATATTAGACATCCTTCGTTATGCGGCTCATGATAATTGAGAACACCTATTCATTTTTGTATATACTCCCATATACGGTTTTATTTTTTCATGTTTACGTTGCTTACCCAGATCACTAAACTTACTTTATTACAGCAATGCTATGTCTTTTCCGAATCATACGTTATTGAGCTAGTCATGATCCTTGATTTCTGTTTGTTCTACGTCTAGTTGCCCAGACGTTTCAGCCGAGTTCTTTGGTGAGGTTTATATGTCCTCTTTCCTGTTTATTGCTTAAAATTCTCATCTTTCCAACTCACTCGGATGGTTGCTTTTTTAAAGCACGGTGTGTAGAATGCCGGAATTAGATAGGCTGGTATGTTATCATCCTTGCCTGCTTTTCATTCTGTTAAAGAATGTAAATGCATGTAAATATTAACTGCGAAGCATTTCTCAGCAAACTCTCCTAGGGTGTTGGGTCCTGTGTCAGGCTCTATACCGTTAGCCCCAACATCCTTTTGTTTCTTGTGTCTTGTACAAGAAAACAATAAAACAAATTTTGAAATTGAAATTCAATTGAACTTCAACGACGTTGAGCGTATCTATCTATCTATCTATCTATCTATCTATCTATCTATATATCTATCTATCTATCTATCTATCTATCTATCTATCTATCTATCTATCTATCTATCTATCTATCTATCTATCTATCTATCTATCTATCTATCTATCTATCTATCTATCTAGCCGCTTACGTTTTGGTGCTCTCGTGGTCACCCCCTTAATTTGATGTGAACCAAAATTAGTATGGGAGGGTAATATGGTTTGAGAAATATGACGCGCTAGCCATGGCATGAATATCGTGAAAAACCCGTTACGTACGTCGTCAAACACTTCCCGTCAGACAGTCGCACATACCAACGGACGGGTATGTGCCACTGGTATGCGGGTATGTACCCAGGAACGACGAGAGCACACATGAACAACTTTAACACTCGAGCGTTAAGAAAAAAAAATCGGCAGATCCCACGTGCCTGGAAATCATCTTTATGCGAAGTACGAAGAGGAAAGGTGACCGTGTTACATTTTTTATTGGGCGGCACGTCATGAAAGGACGCTAAAGATATGTAAAAATGTTGCACGCAGAGACATATTTTGAAGAGAACATGTGTGTTGAAGAGTCGCAGATGTTTATATAACCAGTTTTCTATTTTCACAACGATGTCAGCTGGCAATGTGTTTTAGTAACACCAGAAGCTGATACGAAGCACTGATGCTCGCGAAGATGCTGGCCCTTGACACTGCTACATAAATCGATTTCAGCGCATGGCACCTCATCACAATTCACGTTAACCCGACGTGACGACTGTATGAAAGGAGTAGATATGTAATGTTTATAATATTGGGTAGGCAGCACGGCAACCACTATTGACGTTTCACGAAGATTAGCGTCTATTTCAAAAGTAGTTCCGAGACCTGGCATAGCTCTGTGGTAGAATGCTTGACTACCACGCAGAATGCTTGAGTTCGATTCCTGCTGGGACCCTCAAATTTACTATTTGCATTCGTCAGGGGCAAACGCTGCCTATTGCAGGTTTTTCTTAACACTGACTTTTATTCCATGTCTTCTTTGGGTCGACACTTGCGATGTTGGGTATTGCTTAACGCTCACGCGTTAAAATTGCCCATCTGTGTTCTCGTCGTTCCTGGGTAGATACTGAGTGTCAATCGCCTGTTGCACTACCCGCATACCAGCGGCGCATACTCGCCCCCGGATATGTGCCACTGTCTGGCGGGAAGTGTTTGACGATGTATGCGACGGAATTGTAACAATGTTCATGTTTTGACCAGCGTGTCATATTTGTCAAACCATCTTACCCTCCCATGCTAATTCTGGTTCACTGCAAGTGATGGGAGTGACCTTGAGAGCGTCCAAACTTAAGCGGCTAGATAGATGAATCTAGCCGCTTAGATGAATCTAGCCGCTGTCTGATAGATACGCTCCAAGTCACCTAAGTTTCCTAAGAAATGCTTCGCATTTAACACTTGTCATTTTTATCTTCGACCAGAGTATTGCAAAGAATAAGGGCCAGTGTTAAAGAAAACCTGCCATAGGAAGCGTTGACCCCTACACGAATGCCAATAATAAATTTCGTGCGAGAACTGTTATTGTCGGGGAAGTGACTACCGATGCCAAAACCCTATGGTTTGTAATGTAATGGTCTGTAACGTCGAGATTCAGCAATCCCACTGCACAGAAGTGCAATGGCAGAGCGTCCGAAGTGTGTCTTAGTGATTCCCGATATTCAAAAAATAAATACCTCATATCCCCCACCCTAGCGTGTTCTTTCAAACTTTCATGCTGCTTGGGTTGCAGGCATGTGTATTCCTGGCGTATTTTTTTTCTCAAATCCATAAAACTGGAAAGATTCACTAGAAAGATGTGCTCTCATGTAGCAAAAGAGAGGTTCAGCGCAGTTTTTTCTACATTTTGCGACACGTATAGTGAACTAGAAAGAATGCATCAATATCAGCTCTCTTTGACATGCAGACGGTATATTAAGGCAGGTCAAAATCTGTTAAAAACATACTTGCGTGCTATTGTAATTGATATTCTGTGTCTTCTGCGAGGTGAATGTTTTCGTGTTGTGGATGAATAAAATGGTCGCGATAAGTTCACAAGACAACCAAGCTATCTCAATCTTTCTTACAGTGAAAGCTGTAAGACCACAATGTGGGTGCCGCACAGTGCCGTAAGTTGTCCGCCGCCGCCGCAGCCATTAGTGTTCATAAATACTGAACCACGAAGTAAAAAATAATACCAATGACCCAGTGGGGCTAGAAACCGGGTGCACTGGGTGCCAACCCAATATTCTACCACTGCGCTACGCTGGTGCTTGGTGCTTGTTGACCAACTTGCCTTTGGCAGGCTTGATGTCGGGAAAGAAATCGCGTTAATACTACTTATAAAGCGTTTTAAAAAAGCCAAAGAACAAGCAGCCGTCGCACAATGCGAACAGCGTAACGAGTGGGTCGTCCAATGATCCATGCCATTACAAAAGCTTGTTCTTGTTTTACTAATAACTGTAACGAATACCCACTTCAGGCATAATTCCTCATCGTCAGCCACTGCATAAGCAATTTCCACAAAGTTCTTTGCAAGTGTTTAGGAGATACCATGCTTCTCAGAAAAATGACGAAGATAGCATAGCGAATGCCGGCCTACAACCCTAAAATTTTTATTGATAGTGCCATAGTGGGCATCAAGACACTGTGTGTGCAGCAGTTACCTAATGAGTTTTTAGAAAAAATCTGTAACGGGCGCTCTTCCAGCTTTCACTGTGACTGTGCTGCGCCTTCCGCGCAGGTCTGGCGTTTATTTATTTGTATACACAAATGTTGGTAATCATTCTGGCATTTCTTTATTTCGCTCGCTTGTCTTTACATTTAGCAATAATTTCATAGTAAAGAGGTGTATTTTTATGTGCACAACATTGAGCACCACACTTTGCTATGTAATTTTGTAACGTTTTTCTCTAGCAAGTACATTATCCTGAAAGAGACTGTAGAGCGTGCATTAGGTTTTGAGGAACAGTAGAAAGCATGCCATTTCAAGTGTTCAACTTCCCATCAGTTTCAATGAAAAGCTAGTAAATAAAAGTTCTAAGAAAAGTTTACCATGTTGAGCTGTTATAAAATTGTGAAGGTTAGCTTGCAGCACTGCCACTATACGCAATAACAATCGCATGGCCGACCAAAGTCGAAAACTGAATTCGCATGCACTTGTCGCAGGCTTAATTAGGATTTGCTTTGTATTAAAATAATTACCGTAATGGCCGTTTAGAGCTCGTAAACTGTCCATCGAAGGGCTGTTACGGCGTTGTTACCGGTTTTGTTTAGTGAACTTTAAAACCACCGTAGTTGAGCGGAAACTGCGGCCCCTACCTGCCACACTTGTTTGCCGGCGTTGTAAAATAAACTGTAGCGTTTCAACTCATGCCAAGCATGCGGCTGTTCGTGAATCCGAGTTATTTTTCTTTGCTTAAGGTCATTAGGAAAACAACAAAAAAATTGGCAGATCCCACGTACAGTAGGAATCAATGACGTGCGAAGCACGGCTGAGGAACGGTGACTTGTCACTTTAAAATCAGCACGGCATTATGAGGCA